ACAATATTAAAGTATTTGTTTTAAGAGATCTGGTTTTATGTTGTAAAGTATGTCGAAATGACATGTGTCAGATTTCTACACCTATTTAATCATTTCTTTTAGATGCCACTGGACTTTGTTCTCCGAAAGCTGTGTATCTGAGACATTGTCCCTAGCCAGCTGCTAGAAGCACCCGAGCAGCAAACTTTTTATGTAGGTACAGACCTAATAATTTTAGCTGGCAGGCATAAGGTTTCTGTCAAAATACTGAACTGCTTGCCATTGTACTGCAGAGGCCAGCCGTAGCAAAAAAAGTACAGTGTCATAAAGCAGCAGCTGGCACTCAGGGGAGTGGAATCACTTGAACCCAGGAGGCATCAGGTGGCAGTAAGCTGGGGGGGTGTGGGGGGCGGGGGGGGGGGTGATCCTGGCACTTACTCTGCCTAAGCGACAGAGCAAGCGGTCTCAAAAAAAAAAAAAAAAAAGCGCAGGTCGAGGCGCGAATTGGCTGCAGGATAGTTGGCTGACCCTCAATCTAGAAGGAAGAGTTGTTTCTTAGAACTTTGTAACATTTTGTTAGAAATTTCAGTTAACGCCAGTTTTGCTTCCTAGCTATTCAGTCAGCAGAAAAGTTTGCTTAAAACAAAGGGGGTAGTCACCCGTTATAACCTGGGCTACTTTGTTACACAGTATAAGGCTTTTCCTAATTTTTTCAAAATACTGTAATGATTTGGTGTCTGTATTGTATATATACCTACAAAACATACATGCTTCAGCCTACTGAACAGATCAGAATTGGTTTTTATTTTTAGTTGATTGATTTTTTTCATTACTTTAATCTAAGAAATGACGTTATTACTAAGCTCCAAAAATTGCTGGTGGTTTTTTCTCTTGATTAAACCACTTTTTTATGTGGTATATTTAATAATTTCTATCCTTCTATATGATTTAAACTCCACATCATGTGTTACTGTTTATAAACTTTTCTGCATGTGATCACACTTAGTTATGAGCAAAGCAGTGAGAAAGTTGAGGGATAAACCACAACTTTGCAGCATTAATGTAACAAAAAGTTTAAGTATTTTGTCAGGAAAACAAAAGCCTAGCGCGTTAAGAAGCTATTCTATGTTGGTAGTTGAAATCAAGAAGTGTATTATATAATGTTCTTAATAAGGTAAGAGTGCAAATTCAAATCAAAAATACAAATAATTGGTTTTCAATGCATCACATTATTTATTGCCATAACAAATTGTTTGGTCCAAAATGAAAGCTATATTCAGAAGGTTTGCACCTCAAAATTGAGTAATAATTAATGAAATGTCCGTACAAAATAAAGTGCAAGCAGTGTAAAATTGAAGTCTGTCTTTGTTTCAAAATGATTAAGATTGATTAAATGATGAAATAATATTTTATGGCCACTGCACTGGATACTTGGATTGTTTTTCAAGCATCTTCTTATGACTGAATCTTCTGTTTCATTCTGTTTTAAATCTTAAAAGTAATATCATGGTCACTTGGAATCTGCTCTGTACTTTAATTATAGTCTCTTCTGTTATAAACAATAACGTGGACACATATTTTTCATAGTTTTAAGTAAAGATTAGATAATGCCATCTCAGAAAGGATCTGTTTAACCTATATTATAAAAGTTAGATACACAATTTGGTACATTAAATGAAAATGTCATTTGCATATATAGAACCTATTCTGTTTTACATAGTATCATAATAGCTACAGCTACTACAAGAAATGGAAGTCAAACATTTAGTAGGGTGCTTAAAGAGTTAGTTTAATAATGTCTTCTTACTTTTCTAGTTAGATAGCAACTGTATTTCCCAGACAAGCAAGAAAATATATGGGGCAGTTTTTATAAATTGAAAAGTAGCTAGCACAATCCAACCACGCAAAATTTTTTTGAAATAGCTTGCAATGCTGTGATTCCAAAGTGATCAAAGTACTTGAAGAGCAAAAATGGCTTGAATAGAATGGAAATGTAGGTAAGTGGACAGATAGCATCTGGATTGAATTTGTTACAGGTGGTATATTAGCAAAGAAACAAATAGAAAAGTGAAATGGAAGAAATATACCAATTTCCCATTATTTCATATAAAAAGAATGGCTAATTTACAGATGTTAGCACATGAAGACATTGTTCTAAAGTTTTTTTTCTTATAGTATCTTTGGGTAATACTAGTCAAATAAAATGAGTTGGGAAGTATTTTCTCCTCTTCTGTTTCCTGGAAGAGATTGTTAAGAATTGCTATTATTTCTCCCTTAAGTGTTTGGTAAAATTCATCATTGAAGTTATCTGGGCCTGTAGTTTTCTTTCCTGGAAGGTTTTTAACTTAACCACAAACTCAATTTCTTTAATAAATACAGGTCTGTTTAGGTTTTCTATTTCTTCAGTGAGATTTCTAGTTTGTATCCTATAGGGAATCTGTTTCATCTAAGTTGTTAAATATACAATCCTTGAGTTGGTCATGGTGTTTTCTAGTTAGCCTTTTAATACCTATAGTGTCTGTAGTGTATCCCCTCTTTCATTTCTGACACTGTGAATTTGTATCTTCTGTTTTTCTAGGCAGTGAGCTAGAAGCTTATCTTATTGCTCTAAAAGCATTTTAAATGCACTCAAGATAGTTACGCTAGAAACTTTGACTTCTTATTCAACACTGAATATGGGTGACTAATTTTTAATTAAGAATCTATTTTGCTTTTTATATCACAGTAATGACTTCTATGTGTTAGTAATACTACTTCGTTCTGTGTAATACTGGAATACTAGGAGATTATTCTAACTTAGTGAAAAACAAAGTTGGCTTAGATGGAATACGAATTTAACTTCTGAGGGCCGAAGACTTGAATTCTGCTTTTTTTAAATTCTGCAGAACTATATATCTTCATACAGATCTTCACTGTAGCTTTAGCCAGGTGCTTAGGTGTTTGCAGGTCTAATTGAGAAACCTCTAACCTAGTGTTCCTCTAAGTTAGAGTCCTTGGATCTGTATCAAAACCACCTAGTGTACTGTTTAAAATGGCCATTCCTAGGCCTTATTACAGGACCTACTATAACAGAATTGAACACGTGGCCCTGAATCTGCATCTTTAATGAATTCTCCAGGTGAGTCTTACAATGAAGTTATAGAACTACTATTCTGACGTCACAAAGTAGAAAGATAAAAGTTGGTTTTTAAACCTCAAGATACAAAATAATTAGTCTCTCTCTTTTTTTTTTTTTTTTTTTTGAGATGGAGTCTTACTCTGTCACCTAGGCTGGAGTGCAGTGGCGCAATCTCAGCTCACTGCAACCTCCACCTCTCGGGTTCAGGTGATTCTCATGTTTCCGCCTCCCACGTAGCTGGGACTATAGGCACCTGCCACCAAGCCAGGCTAACTTTTGTATTTTCAGTAGAGGTGAGGTTTCACTGTGTTGGCCAGGCTGGTCTCAAACTCCTGACCTCAGGTGATCCCCCCTGCCTCAGCCTCCCAAAGTGCTGCCATTACAGGCATGAGCTACTGTGCCCAGCCGATTAGTCTTTTGATAAGGGTTCTATAAGGCCTAATCATCTGCATTATTACTAATTTAATTTTATATTGCTTCCTGGCCAGGCACAATGGCTCACACCTCTAATCCCAGCACTTTGAGGGGCCAAAATGGGCAGATGACTTGAGGTCAGGAGTTTGAGACCAGCCTGGCCAATATAGTGAAACCCTGTCTCCATTAAAAACAAAAATTAGCGGCTAGGCACAGTGGCTCACGCCCGTAATCCCAACATTGGGGAAGCCAAGGCAGGCGGATCACAAGGTCTAGAGATAGAGACCATCCTGGCCAACATAGTGAAACCCCGTCTCTACTAAAAATACAAAAATTAGCTGGGCGTGGTGGCGTGTCCCTGTAATCCCAGCTACTTGGGAGGTTGAGGCAGGAGAATCACTTGAACCCGGGAGGCAGAGGTTGCAGTGAGTCAAGATTGTGCCACTGCACTCCAGCCTGGCGACAGAGTGAGACTCCCATCTCAAAAAAAAAAAGAAAGAAAAATTAGCTGGGCATGGCGGTGGGCACCTATAATCCCAGCTACTTGGGAGGTTGAGGCTCGAGAATCGCTTGAATCCAGGAGATGGAAGTTGCAGTGAGCTGAGATCGCAACACTGCACTCAAGCCTGGCAAAAGAGTAAGACTCCATCTCAAAAAAAACCCACAAAATTTATATTACTTCCTTTTTCAGTTTTCCCTTGTAAAACTTGTGAAGTCATTACATGTCAGCACCAATTTCATGATGAATAAAAAATATACTCTAGTTGGAATTAAACTCTCATCATCAATGTAGTTAGACCCATGCTATTTATGCCTAATGCCCCTTTTCTCCACTAACTAATATGGCATCTCATTTATAATAAAATATTTTAAGTCTCCTGTTATATTTAAATTGCATCAAATTTAAATTATGTTAACTATAAGACTGGCATGCCAAGCCAAATTATCACAGAAGCTTACATGAACAAGCAATGTTAGTGACAGATGCTTTTTGTTATCCATCAAATAATTACTAAGTTTTCTTTTTTAAAAAAATCAGTGTTTATGGGCACACAATTAAATACCATTTAGAGCATCCTTAACTTAGGACCAGGTCACTGGCTTAGTTAAAATATGTTTATATTTGATAGTTTCCAAGGTAAGG